AAGAATATTAAGTTTTATTCCAAATTTAGCCTTACCAAAGAATTTCCTGGGTTTATAATATCTCATTTAGGAATAACTGTAAAAGCCCATAATTATAGTCTTCATAATCTAATTTATTTTTTTCTTTTCCCTCCGAAATGCATAGGTACATTTCAACATAAGGTTCAGGTAATAATATAAATTAGGTGAACAGGAAAACCACAGATTATGCATTTTCCTTTGTGGGTACTATATAGTATTCTGTGGAATGAGGTGGCATAAAAAGTGTTAAAATATCATTCACTTAAAGATATGTTTTTATAATATAAAGATGCATATTAAGATGTTATCAGAAACTATTTCCGATTCTACCTCTTTTACTAGGCTATCCAGAAGATAAGAAGTTTTTGTTTCTGTTTCAGTTTAGCAAATCAAGAATTCAAATCACATAACTGATTTGAAATGTATTATCTCAAAAATTTTCAACACAGGGATTAAGTTTTGAGAAAAAGTTAACGGACATGTCCTTGCTTGTCCTTACATGATGAGAGTAGTTGCTGGTTTCTTTATGATAGAGGGATACACACTAAACCAACCAAAGACTAGTGAAAAGACGAGACTACTTACATTAATATTGGACAACGGACAATCCTTTTTGGCAAGTTTAAAGGCAAAATAAGATACTTGAAAGATATCAGGTCTCCGTTCTTGATCAGGTTCCAGCATGTACCCTGTAAAAGTAGATTACATTTTTCAAATATTGTTTAAATAGAGTATGGGATCACATTTCAAAATTGTGCAAGAGCCACAGAGCCACCTTTAACCAAAATCTGATGAGAAATTTTAAGTGCAACTTCATAGCAATATAGTTTCACACATCTACAATGATTTTTAATTTTAAACCCAGAAAGTATCATAATGTGCCATAATTTTACTATGTTCTATGAAATTTAGTTTAAATCTGTTATATACCTTCTCTCAAGAGATTAACTGGAAATAAAGCAGAAATCTTGAGGTTACTCATGCTGTTGTCTTCTGAAAGATTTATTTCATGAGCTCAAGGGACAGTTAAGTTTTTTTGTTTTGGTTTGTTTTTTTGGTTGGGTTTTTTTTGGGGGGTGGGGTTGTTTGTTTGTTTTGGGGGTATTTTGGGGGGGGGGGGGTTAAGAGAAAAGAAGGTTGAAAAAGCCAAGAATCCCTGCAATACTTATGACAAACTCCTGCTTTTGACAGCTTTAATTCATGAGTACCTGGTACATTAAAAAAGAAAAAAGATTTTTGCTGAAGACAACAGTACCTATTGTTCATATTATATACATACATACATACATACATACATACATACATACATACATGCACACACACGCTATAAAATTCTGCTCTTCTTTAAACATGAACTTCTACTTGTGGCTCTGCACATACATATTTATGTGCATGTACACACACACACACACACACACACACACACACACACACACACACACACACACACACACACACACACACACACACACACCTGTGAAACTATAAATGTGCATGTCTTAGGCAGAATGAGGAATAGGAATTCATGTTTAAATAGGAGTAGAAACTTGAATGAAAAACACACAGGTAATATGTAATATCATAATATATTAATATTAAACCTTATTTAATGCACAGAACCATGTATGTGAGCGCACACATGCGTGCACACAGTTCATGCAGGAGCAGAATTTAGAGCACCAGAGAAGGTTACACAAAATTCTGTTTATGTTCTCAGCACAGGTTTTTCTTAAATTTGATACTGCCAGTTCCTTTTTGTAATTATTATGGCCATTTGTGTGAAGAATGTTCTTCACAACCCTGATACTTTATTCTAAAGACTACCTTTTGTTTGCACTTGATGGCACTTCATTTCACTGCTAAATAGCAAAATGTCCAGTGCAAGTAGATATATCCATGTTAGATACTTCACAAAAGTAGTTGCCAAGACCCGCATTTGTAGCAGCAAAAAACTAATGGAAAGTGCATTTAAAAACCTATCAGCTCATTATTTTCTTCTGTGGTTTGAAAGCTATTTCATAGCATGTATTTTTAATAAGTAATGCTTTTCTAAATTCAAGTATACAATTTCAACAGTGCCCATTTCGCATGCATGTCATTCTATATGGCTAACAATCTGCATCTAACTATATCATCTTAATTTAAATAAAATGAACTAATGGATTTTAGATTGCAAACTTTTCAGAGAAGAGACCTGCATGTCTTGAAGACTGCTATTTACTTTGTTTGAGCAACATTCCATCAAGCATTAAACCATTTTCTTCAGGAAAAAAAACCATCCATTTCCCTTTTTGGAAGTTTTATTTCCTTTACAGTAAATTTTAAAACTTAAGCTATGTTTAAGTTTGTTCATGCTTTGATTATCAAAAGTGTTAAACATGAAAGTCATTCCAAAGTGTAATTGATTTAATCAACCTATTGAATTAATACACATCACTATTGGCAGACACTTTAATAGATCAGTTATGTGTATAACATGTCTTGGCAAGACAAAAGTAATCAACAAATTTAGTTCAATAAAATTATGTTTGTACATTTAATCAAAAGCCAATTTCTAGCCAAATGCAGCTTGGGAAGTCACAAACTAAACATCATTTCTAGTTAATACAACACTACCTCATTTACTAACTTTAAAATCTAAATGTTAAGAAACTGAATAATTAAGCTACATAACTGCACGACTAAAATGTGCACAGATATAGGTTATTAGTCAGGAAAGTGATCATAAAAATTTGCCAAGCAGCAGAGGTAAACCTTTCTTCAAGAAAGCAAAGAAGTAAACCAGGATTCAAAAACAGTTCAAGCAGTTTCTTGTTTGCTAATTAAAATCATGACTTATTAATCTATGCTGATCAGAGAAGGTATTTTAAATTATCAGATGCATGTAAAGTGTTCTTGAAATTTTTTTAAGAAATCACTCTTTGATTAAAATTAACACACACATATGAAAGCAAATGCTTCCATAGCTGCACATAAGCTTACCTTCTGCATATTATGAAAGAATGCAGCTTGGAAACCAAAAAGTTAGGTTTAAAAGTACGGCCCTTAAGAAACTAATTATTATTTAAGTTTCATCCATATATATTTAGCAATGTGAAATTTTGAATATTATGTGTTTTGTTTATTCAATGCTTCAATTTTCCATTAAAATATCAAAGAGAGTATAAAGCTCCTTTGTATATGCTGATATTTATATAGCAAAAATGCTCAGTGCTGCGCAACTTGTCCAGGGAGCACTTGCTGACACAGAGGGCGACTCCATTTAAAACAACAACAAATGTTTTAGGTTCATTTCCCAAAGAAAGCAAACAAATTGATGCGTTCAAATCAAAGGCATCACTTCAGGGAAAAGGTCAGGGGTTACCATCTAATTCCACTTCCCATACAACAGTGCTTATGTAAAGTAGCAATGCTTTGAGAAGCTGCTATCCCTGCCCAGCAGATAATGCTACCAAATCAGAAGCATCACTGTCCTGATTGTTCCATCCCCAGCTTTCTATCCAGGTTGTGAAAGCCCTAGCACAAACTTATAACAGCACTGTGTTAAACATCATGCCAGCTCCCTCTATTAGCCTCAGAACTAATGCTACTGGAGCCAGAGAGCTGTCAAAATCATTTAAAATAATTAAGCAGTTGATGAGGTTCAATAAGAAAATGTTAAAAGCACAAACATTCTAAAAACTTAAGAGTATACCTGATGCCAGTCCCAACTTTATCAACAGACTCTGGGAAATACTTTTTTCTGACCACTTGGAAATGTAAGGCTGTCAGGAATTAAGAAACATACTATGGAAAAACAATTAAATAGGGCGGATTTGAAAGAGCATTTGCTTCAAATTAAACTTCATCTTCAAGTGAAAATCTCCTTGGTCGCTAGCATGACCAGGATGCTGGACCTACCAGTTCTGACAAAAATTCTGGAGCTGTCTTTGTTTGTTTTTCTCCAGGCAAAAAGTTCCTTAGTGAAAATGAACGGCATTTGTGACTTGTCTAAGTGGGCAATATTCCCCTGATTTTTCTTAGGCCCCTGCCACTCATTACAGGTGTTACACAATTAACTAATTGTTAATCATGTAATACCTGATATACAACTATCAGATATTGCATATAACTGATAGTTGTGCAATAAATTTAGACCAGCCACATATTCAATGTAATTATCATACCATAAAAATGTCCATCCAGCTATAAACAGAGCCAACCCACTACAAAGTTAGTGCTTGGAAATGTGCAACAACTTTATAGCTGATTTTTATTCATCTTAAATTTAAACATGTGGAAAGGCCCTTAATCTACAATTAATGCAGCCTGATTTTAATTTGGGAGGGGGTGGGAGGACGACTTGCATGGACTTGTGTTTCAAATACTTAACAAGCAATTATAATCATTCTTTAAAACAATAAATAAACTTTATAAGAATTATTTTAAGGCAAAGTAACAGTGCTATGTAGAACTACAGGAAGTATGTGCTGGGGAAAACTGTGCTCTACATACATACAGCTATCAGCAACCTCTTAATGTTGCCAATTTTTTCTGTACATTTTTTCCTCTCTCATTCCTTACCGCAGAAATATCCTTGCAAACAGTTACTTAGAGAGCTTGAAAACGTAACTCAAGAGCAACCTGTCCATTTCTTACAAAAGGGTATCATCTCAAAACAGATTTATTTAAATGATCAAAATTGTTAACTGTTGTACTCCAAATCTTTAAAAAAAAGTTGGAAACTTTAGAAATGTAATGAACTGAATGTTCTATTGAACATTTATTGTTTCATGTCTTCAACAGACACAAGTGAGTGGTTCTACAAAAGAAAGCCCCAAAAAGGAAGTAAAAGAAAAGAACTCAGAGACAGAATTCTTATTTCAAAGGAGCAATTGATGTTTTATTTGAGATCAGTAAAGGTACCAGTCTGCTTAGTAAATAACACAAATTTCAGTTAAATACAACAACTTGCCAAAGTGAATTTTTTATAGAGAAATTTTCAAATTTCCTAATTATCTAATGGTACTAATTATTCTTTAACTACAAATCAGAGAAAATAGAACTTCTCAGACAAAATTTCCTACATAAGATTTTTTTACTATGCATGTATCCCTCCTTTTATGAAGGATCCCAGATTACCACAGTTTATCAAACAGTGAAGGCAAAAAAGAAAATTCTGAATTTACAAAGGTCAAGAGAACATGCCAGCAGAAGATAGAATTACATTTTAATCAAGTTTTTCAAGTTACTGATTTAAAGGATGCTATTTAATGATGGTTACCCACCACATAAGAAAAGTCACAAGGAAAGCATTGCATTAAAATGAGTAATAATTGCAACATAAATTTTTTTAAATGCTGCTCCAACTACTTACTTATCAAACAATGGAGATGATGGGTATACCGAGAATTGTCTGGAATGGTAAAACTTCCATCACAAATAGCAACCTGACTCTCTCCAAAAGGAAGCGTGAAGAAACAAAGTTTATAAAGCAAGCAGCCAAGTGCCTGTAAAACAAACAAAAACACAGCAATTGCCAAAGGACATAGTTTGCTTACTGTAAAAGAAGGGAAGACATTCAAAATATATCTTCTTTAATGGTGATCACTACCCAAGGTGAGATAATGCTATAGCGTTGTAGGAGTTAACTTATCAACATTCTGTTAACGTAATTTGGAAATGAAAGTGACAAGTTGATATGCAGTGAAATGCAGACAGCGAGTCACTGACATAACTCACTACTATAGTCTAAATCAGTACACAGTCCCCTGAGTCCTATTGACTTGTACATAAAGTTTAAAACAGTTATTTTCAAAGGCTCATGCATACTAAAAAAAAAAAACAAAATAAAAAAACGGTATTTGCTTCTGATGATTAATCAGCTTCAAGAGGTGTTCAATGCAAAAAAAATATACCCCTCATTCTTTACTGTCTCACAATATAACATATAAAATATCTATCACGAAGCAGACAATGGCTAACTACTGAGAAGTGTTGATTCATGGAAAATTAAGCCATTACCAGGGATCTGGGTTTTCCACTTGCCACAGAAAAATGTGTATTTTCTCCTTTAAAAGGAGAAAAATGCAAGAAACCCTCAATGTCCCCATGCAGGCTGGCAGAGTTCCAGCCTGCAAGGGGCTGCTTGGGGCTGGGGGGAATGGGAGGAGCCCAATCGGATGCAGGGGGCACCACATGCATGTGTGCATACATGCACATGGCCAGCAATATGGAGAGCAGATCCTCCAGCTGCCTGCAGTGAAGTCTATGGTGTGGGAGACATAGCCATGTAGGGGGTGGGGCGGGGGCAGACTGAGGTGACAGCTTGCATTGAACCCCCACAGTGATGAAAGGAACAGGACAGGGTTGGCGGCTGGGGGTACTGCTCAGCCAGGGAGATGCGCAGGGCCTGGATGGAAATGTATGGCTGCAGGGCCCAACTGGAGACTGAGTCAGGGCCACAGGCTGCTCATCTAGGGAGGTGGCAGACGGGCCAGCTCTTTGCCACTATACGCACTCCCAGGAGGGGATCAGGGCAATGCATCAGTGGGGAATGGTGGAGGCATGTGGCCCCCTCCCCACAATATGTGCAACCACAGCAGGGCATGGGGCTGCAGCCTGGGCAGACCAGCACTGGGCAGGAGCTGCCTCTGTAGACCAGCAGGCAGAAGCTAGCACAAGAGGGTACAGCAGGACGGCAAGACTCGTTGCCCCTGCTCCCACCACCACCAGAATCTCTTTACCAGTCACACTGCCATGGAGTAACACAGTGCTGCTCTCAACTCCTCTTACCACCAACCACTCACACTGCACTGCGGCTCCACTCCACCACCATGGCCTGGCCATTGCCACTGTTGTTCCGTTAAGGCTGCCCACACTGCCCTCCACCTCCCCTCCCCTCCAGGGCAGCATGTGGTGCCTGGTGTGCAAGCAGCTGGCAGCAGGAGGAATTAAGGGCAGCATGGCTGCCCCCCAGTTCCCTTGTGCTGCTGGCAGTGTGACATTCATTACTCCCTGGCAATGCAACTGACATGCAGTTCCCAGCCTCACCACCCTGCTCTGCCCTCTCATGCCAGGTCCTGCCCACTGGCCTGCAGAGGCAGCTCCTTCCTGGTACCAGTCCAGCTATGCTGTAGCCATGTACCCTGCTACGGGCACACAGATCTGGGAGGGGCTGTGCCCCCCCCACACCCTCCTGATGCATATGGTTGGGCACTCCTCCCCTTGCCCATACACTGTATGGGGGGGGGGGGGGCAGGGGGTCAGAAGGGAGGGGCATCAGCAAAACCTGGGGGAAAGAGGG